TCTCTTTCCCTTCCTCTCCCCTCCCTCCTGTCTGCCCCAATCCCTGGAACCCCTTCTCGACTCCAAAAAGTCTCTCTCTCCACTCCCTATCATCTGCCTTTTATTTTGCTCTTTAGATTGTTTTCACTCGGGGTCTCTATAGAAGAGGAAACCACACAATGTTCAACCTTCTGGGTCTGACTTACTTTATTTAGCATTACGGTCTCCAGGTGCACCCATTTTCTTACAAATGGTTCAAATTTAGCCTTCTTCATGGCTGAATAGCACTCCATTGGTGATATTTGTTTGCAACATGGCTTTCTAATCTGACCTAATGCCAAGGCTTTAGTCCACCTCGTTGGCCTTTCAACAAGCATGTTGAGTGACACCGTAAGCATGTAAAGTAATTTGCACACTCTCGTGCCCTTTGACACACTCTTCCCTCCAAGGGCTGTTTTCCTCTCCTTCCTGCATGCCTGTGTGTGGGGAGGCTGCCTCCCTTCCTTCTGGTATCTTTACTGCGGATGCTGGACATACTTGTGGCTTGAGAATTGAGATCACAAAGTAACTTCCTGGGCTCAGGGAAGGTGGTGCGCGGGGCTCGGTCGCGTGAGAAACATCAGTCCCTGGGCTTTGGGCGTGGAAATAAGACTGGACTCAGCACAGGGTCCGGAAGAAGGGGGTTACCTTCCTGGCTCCACCAGACTGGACTCTGAAGTAGAAAGTAGCCACGGTAACGCATGCTAGCGACCGGGGTAAATGCGATCCTCCAGGATTAAATGCGTTCGTTTTGTTAGTGTGACACAGAAAATAAGGGAAGCCCTCCAAGCCCGTCTGCGCATGGCCAGCACCCTCACCTTCCATCACATGCATTTTTGGCTCGGAACAATACGCACATCATTCAGAGTGCAGATAACAAATGCAATCTGGTGGCTCTCATCTCTGCTTTCGTTTATTTATTTATTCATTCATTTATTCATTTATTGCTTCGGAATTTATTTTATCATTTCTTGGCATAAGTTGTAGCTTCCCAGTGACTCTAAGTTTGCTTACCTTTATATTTTTAAAAAAATAGAAACAGAGTTTGTGTTTCCTGAGCACAAACTCGGGGGTGGTCCTGGGAGGGAGTCAGACCTGTCGAGGACAGGAGGGCTGTGGTTGCAGAAAGGAGCCTGGAAGCCAGGCAGGGCCTCAGGTGTGGCCCCCATGCTGATGTGGAAAGTGGCGACATTTGGGGGATCCTGGAACACGGAAGAGAGGGCCGAGAAAGATGCAGGGAGTAGGGTAAGAGAGACACCTGGAGGGATGAGCCTGGAGAGTTGGAGAAAGTGAGGCACAGGTGCTGGGGGCACCAAGCCAAATCACTGAAATCCAGCAACCTCACCTGGGACGTGCAGCCTGCAGGCAGACCCCTGGTCCTCACTGCAGTTCCGCCAGACAGGTGGCTGGGGGGCGTCTCCAGCCAATCTTCCGCTGCTCTGAGCTTCGACCTTTGGAGTGGGCTTAGCAATCACGGGTTTGTCTCTCCCGGGTACTTTGCCACCCCTTTCCCAGGAGCTCCTCTCCTAATGTGTGGCCTCCATGGAGCTGTCTGTCCTGCTGCTCTTCTCCTCCCAACCCCTCAGGGTTGGGTGTGTCCCAGACTGGGCCAATTATCCTACCAAGTCCTCCAGACACTGTGATTTGTGCCGGAGAGGCATGAAGCAAAGCTCTGGACTTCTCTACTGGATGTAAGAGGGAAGCCACTTCTCTCCTTTTAGAATCTGTAAAGTATAAGCTTGTGGCTGTTGCCTGCCATCTCTCTAGACAGGCAGAGAAACCCTGCCTGCTGTAGAAGCGGAGAAGAGAATGAAGCAAAAGTACAAGAGGACAGAAAGAAAGCAGTAACACTCACTTGAGACACTTGATCTGCAGACAGACACTTCGAATTTCCCATTTATCTGAGATTTCTCTTTGCCCTCTTGTACAGCAGTTTGTCACTTGTGACTGAAAGAATCCTCACCCATACAATCTCTTTATCTATAAAAAAAATGAATATAATTCCTTGCAGGGCTATTGGGATTAAATGAGGTCATGGGTGTGAAACGGGTTTCAAACCTACACACCTCAGCCACCTATTGCTATTGGGACTATAACATGGCCCAGCTGTGCAAACTTGGGGGCCTCTTCGAGCCAGCAAACTATGACTCAGCAGTGCCACTCCTAGGTAGTCACGTGTCACTCAGAGCCGGGGCCAGGTCCTGAGAAGTGTGTCGCTGGGTGACTTCATCCCCGTACAAATATCACAGTGCCACTTAACACAGAGCTGGATGGTGCGGGGCATATGGGATCACCATCCTGTACGTGAACGGTTGTCATGCCGAACATCAGCGTCCATTACCCGCAAGAACTGGAAGCAGATGTCCACGCAAAAACTCTTACACAAAATGTGCATAGCAGGGTTATTCATAAGAGCCCAAAGCGGAAAGCTCCAAAGAAACACCACCTGAGGGATGGGTAAGCAGAACAAGGCACATCCACACAACGGAATGTTATTCGGGAATAAAAAAGAATGAAATGCTGTCGCTGAGACAGCGTGTTGAGCAGGCAGACCCAAAAGGCCTTGTAAGGGATGATTCCATGGCAATGAAATGTCCAGAATAGGCAGATCCACGGAGACAGGAAACAGACTGGTGGCTGCCAGGGGCTGGGATGAAGGAATGGGGAGTGGCTGTTCACGGGTCCAGGGTTTCTTTGGGGGGTGATGGTTACGTGCTTGTGAGTAGACTAAAACCACTGAATTGCACGGAGAATTTTATGACACTAAATCTCAATTAAAATTTAAAATAAATATTAACACTGTGTACACGGAAAGCATGATTAGTACATTCATTGCTTCCCATCCCAGCTTCCAGGAGCCCTTCATCCAGCCCTCTGAGCTCCCCCACGCTGGACTTGTCACACACACACAGAGACCTTGTGTGGTTCCAATGGTTTAAGGCTGATTAAATAAGAACCGACTTAAGTAAGTTAAGGAATGATAAATTATGATGAAGTAAATAAACATGAGGCCATGTCTCACCTGGTGGGCTCTGTCCCTAGCTCCTCCTGTGCAGGCTTCTTGCAGAGTGTGGGGTACAGGAGGTGCCCAAGTATGAGGTGAGAGAACAAGCACAGGGACTCTTCTCGCCCCACCCTGTGTTACCCAGAAGAGCACCCACTGCACTCAGGATGCCAGGCCTGGGATGGCAGCTAACAGAGGGTGAGGTTGTTACCAGCAAGACCAGTGGCCACACAGACCATCCACCCATTGGAGCAACCTAGGGAGCCCACCTGGGGGATCTGCAGCCTTCACGGGGCTCTGGGTCATTCCCGATGCCTCTAGGGTTGAGCAGCACTGGGGACAGCATGACCTCCAGAGAGCAGGGAAGTAGGTGGCAGCTACAAGATGCTCCAGGTCTAAAGCATCCTGACTGAAGGTGGCTTAGACTGATCCGGAACTGGGAAGTGCTCTTGAGAGCGGCTCACAGCGCAGCTTGAGTTAGGGTTCCACAAGATCCTCGGGCCTTGGCCCCTGCCCTCCTCATCCAGTGTCTCCCTGAATCCAAGGCCAGAACCCCTTGTCCACCCGTCCTGAGTCAACAAACAAGGCTGTAAGATCCCTTGTCCCAGCCTGGGGGAGAAGGTAGGAAGGAAGAGATAGAGTGAGTTCCTTTGTTTCAGGGACTCTTTTAGAGGAGCAAGAAAATTATTTTCTTTGTCATACTGTGCTTCTGAAACTTTGGCCTAGGGGTGGCAACACACTGATTCATTTCAGCCTAAGCCCTAAACCACATCCACATGCCCTCCTCTTCCTACCTCTCTGTCTTCTGTCTCTCTCTCTCTCTCTCTCTCTCTCACACACACACACACACACACACACACAAACCAGAGAAGGTATCTGCTTCCCCTGGTATATGGCTAAGTGGGAGAAATTAATATAAAGTAAACGCTAGGGTACTAGGGCACTACCAAGAATGAGAGCAATTGCTGGGGAGGAAAATGCAATCCCTCCCCAAAACTCAACTTGGCCTCAGGGCCCCTCTCCAAATGTCACCTCCTCTGGGACGCCCTTCTCTGCTCCCCAGACAGAAAACTGCACCTCTGTGTGGCCCACACCGCTTCCTCACCCATCCCTCAGCCACCTCCTCTGCTCCCGAGGGCTGGGGGCTGAGCGCCTAGGTGTGAACGAGATTTCCAGGCCGGAGAAGCGAAATGATCACATCCATTGCTGTGTAGGTTCTCTGCGCCATACAGTGAGCTGTGCCTCGGACCTGACTGGTGGGGACTGGCAGTCTCCTGAGAAAGACCCAGGCCAGGCACCACATGCAAAGACCGTGGACGGGACAGATTTTAAAAGCTCCTGCTGTAAATGTGCACCGAAGTTAACACCTGTGATCAAAAGGGCTGGGAAGACCGTGCCTGGGTTCCAGGAGAGGTGGGTCCCCTTCTTCCTGGATGCTTCCCTGTGCCCTATTGTGGGGATACAGAGGGGTTGGAAGGTGTCTGCACGGACTCCAGGGTCACAAGAAGCACTGTGGCCTTGACATTCCAAGTCCCCAGGTGCAGGAGACAAAGGGGACTCTCAGAAGGCTGATGGAGGGACAAGAGGTCTACGCTGCTCAGGGAGACTGAGTCCCAGAGGGTGTCTTAGGCCACCTTCGGTGCCCCTCCCGGCTTTGGGAAGCTGCTTTCTTTGCCAGACAGAACCACAAACCACTTAGCCCAAACAGCTCTGAGGATGAGATGGGGATCAGGACGCAGGTGCCACGTGGGTGAGGGGTCCCAGGAGCGAGTGTCTGGGGGGCTCTAAGCCCAGGTGTGGGAGGGGGCCAAGTGGGGAGGACGCAGAGGCCGCAGCCCGCCTGCCGCCCAGGTGGCAGAGGGGCCAAGACTGGAGGGGAGCCAGGCGGCCGCGGTGTCCGCGCCCCTCCCCTCGCTCAGCCCTCCCACTTCCTCCGCGCCGCGCAGGGAGCCGTGGCGCCAGCGCGCAGAGGCTCGAGGCGCAGAACCAGGAGGCTCCGCTCGCCGCCAGGACCTGAGCCGACCCGACCCGACCCGACCCAGCCTCGCGGCCATGGACCTGTCGCGGGGCCTCGTGGTGGCCTGGGCGCTCAGCCTGTGGCCAGGTACGTGTCCCCTCGCCTCCCCTTGATACCGCGAGTCCGCCCTGCCCGCCGGAGCCTTGGGTCCCCGTGTCAGGAGCGGGACGCGACGCGCCTCTCGGGGCGGCTTCTCGAGGGCACCTGGGTCCCCCAGAAGCGGTCGCGGCGCAGCGGCCCCGCTAAGGAGGGCGGTGCGCGCCGACGACTGGGAACTCTGATGCGGGTGCGTCTGGGGCTGGTGACACCACCGGGGTTCCCGGGAGCACAGAGGGCGCGCGGCCGCGTCCCCGCCTGTGCGGGAGGGCGGAGCACCCCGAAGTTGGAGAGCCCGGCGCGCCGCCCCCAGGCGGGGAAGACCCGGGGCGAGCACTGGTGCTCAGAGTCCCTGGCTGGGACCCAACGGAGCTCCGGAGCATTGGGCGCCTGGGCGGTGTCAGGTCCAGGTTCTCGGGAAAAGTTACCTGAAGGCTCAGGGCAGCCCAGACCGGTGCTCGGAATTAGGCAATTATTCAATAACCCGGGGAAGCCGCTGTTCAGGTGTGAGCCGCCTAATTACCTAATGCACTCCAGACCCCGGCACGGCCAAGCCGGGGCTCTGGGCTCTGGGGTACCCCCGGCCACGCAGGGAGAGGCGGAGATGGGGTCAGCAGTGGGGGTCCGATGCAAACGGCAGCAGAGGTGCCTTTTGGAGCTCACGTGGAGACCCCAGCCGGCCCTCACCCTCCGCAAGGGCCACCTGGGCTAACAAGTGCGCAGGAAGGTCCGCCTTTGCCAAGGGCTCGGTCTGGAGGGGAGCAGTTCAGACCCCAGAGTCACAGCTAAAAGCAAGCACTGCTGCATGTATCTGGAGCGTGGGAAAGGGCCAGGGTCCAAGCGCCACCAGGCCAGGCCATCCAGGAACCAGCTGCAGGGGACCAAGGCCACTCGCGGTGCTTTGAGCAGAAAACAGGGCTTTAGAACAGTCCTAAGATCACTAGAGATCCAACCACGGAGACGGTTTTGCATTTCTGTGAGACTCCAGGGCCTGCGCCCAAGTGGCTACTGCAGAGGGGACAGAGAGGGCTTTGGACTCATATCTGGCTCCCACCAAGGGCTGTACAGCCCTGTGAGGTTGCTTAGGTGGCTTCTCCAGCAGGTTCAGTGCGGGAGGATGGAGTCATTGGCAGACTAAGAAAAGCTAACACAGGCCTGGCGCACAGGAGGGCTGATCAAGGGTGGTTGGTGGCATTGTCTAGGGAGGGGAAGGAGTGAAGGACAGTGGCAGTTAGGGACCTCTAAAGACAGGGTTTGTGACTCAGAGCTGCCTTTCCACGGAGAAAACCACTTCTGCATGATGTCTGGTCAGTTTGGGCTCTTGCAATGTGGGATTCATTAAAGATATCAGTCAACGGGGAGCCACATCTGCTGGGGGTGGGGCCAGGCACACGTGCTGCCAGAGGACAAGGCAAAACCGGGGCAGCGGAACAGAAGCTCGAGAGAGCGGCGCAGAGAAATGGGGGCCATGTTCAAATACTCAGCATCAGCTGGATAAGCTGGGAGCCTTCCCGGGGGGAGGAGACGGGGTTTAAATAGAAGAGCACAGAGTGGCTGGGAGGTAAAGTGAGCCTGTTCCTATTTTAGAGCACTATCTGCTGGGACTCGTTGTTTGGTTGTTTATTGTATGCTTATTGGTTATTTTGGCAATGCCAGGGATTAAACCTAGGTCCTTCACACCGAGCTAGCGCACCAGCCCTTCTTTTTGTTTTATATTTTATTTTGAGACAGGGTCTGGCAAGGCTTGAACTTGTAACCCTCCTGCCTCAGCCTCCCAGGAAGCTGGAATTACAGGCATGTGCCACCATGCCCAGCCCTCCTGGCACTAATTAAAGAACAAAAAGATGACTATTTTAAAACCACAGGGCCAGAGATTTAGCTTAGTGGTGCCACTGCCTGCCTTGCAGTTACAAGGTCCTGCGTTCGATCCCTGGTACCAATAAAATAAAATAAAATAAAAAGTAAAACTACACAGGTAGTTCAGTCAGTGTGGACTCCTTAGAATGGAGGGCTCTGAGGCTTGGTTAGATCCCCTCATGAAGGCCATGTGAGTTCAGAGTCTCTGCCTTTCTGGAGTTCCTGTACAGACAGGACACGGGAAAGGGGCAGGCACGGCCATCAAAAAGCCCCTGGCAAGAATTAGACAAATCCAAAGACATTTATAGCTGGCCTTTAGAGAGAAAGCCCTGGGGTCTGCCTGCCTGAGATCAGCCTGATGTCTGTCAGTTAGGGTTTCATGACCATAACAAGTTATTGTATGTCTTTGTGCCTCAGTTTCCTCTCCTGTAAAGCAGGGAAAATAATAGAATTTATAGTTATCACAAAGACGAAATGAGCAGATGTACGCCCAGTGCTTGGCAAGTCTGAGGCTGGTGTTAAGCCCTTGGGAAGTTGTCTGTCTTCTCTAGCACATCATAGTCATAAGGACACAGGGTGCACAAATACGAACCTTTCAAAGTCAAGCCCATCAATGTATCAAAATGTGTCAAGGCCCCAATAAACTTTTTTAGCTCTACCCCAAAGCTTTGGCCAAAGTGTGGGTCACAGTGAAAGCGAAGCGATGGTTTTCACCATTACAGTTGTCCTGAGCAGAGGGACCAGACCCTTTGGCGAGGCCCATGGGTGTCCTTGTGGGTAGGATCCCAAGGAAACGTGGTACGGAAAATCACAGAGCCAGACGCTGGGGATGCAGAAAGGTCCAGGCCTGCTCTCTGGCTGGGGCAGCAGAGGAGATAGTTTGTCACCATCACTGTGACTCCCTTTTTCTACCTTGCTGGGAGATGGTCAGCCAAGCTCCCCCACCAGATGAGCTGAGGAGCCTCTGGAGCCTTCTACACCACCACGGCTGAGGGGTTCTAGGAGATGGGGTTCAGTCCACCCTCTTTCTGCTTAGCACCCCTCATTACTCCTCTACCTTGGACCCCACATCTCCTTGCCCTTCTTGTCATTTCAGCTGAGGAACTCAGACAGTCCCTTTGCCCCCTGTGGACCTCCTTCCTTCCCCCCAGTGGCAGGGACCTCCTTCTGCCCTCACCCCCTACACTTCCAGCAGCACCCTGTTGCTCGGGATAGAACCATCTTCTGAGCTGCCCAGCCTTGGCTCTTGCTACGTAGAAAGGAGTTCATTGGAGGGATTTAAGAAACTTGTTTACTCTCTGCAGTGCCCAATTCGAGGTATTACTATCTCCCCTCAGGATTTGAGGTTTCCCTCTTGGAGACGTAGCCAGTCATTGTTGCAGTGCCACTGTGGAGAGGGGGCTGTTGTGACCCTTCCTCCGGCTGCCTCAGGACAGCCGACTGTAAAACAAGCTTGAAAGATGCTCCCATGCGTCTCAAAAGTGGCGCCTCTGTTGCTCACTTAATGCCCCTTCCTTGGCCCTCCGCCCCCCACCCCCAAATCTCAGGCTTTCACCAAGAATCCAGAGCTACTTGACAGTTAAGATGCCCACACACCCTCAGCGTGGAGGGCCTGCTAGAGGGAGCTGGGGCCCCAAGTGGGGACCATCCCCAACCCCACCTGTCCATCTCATTCTCAAGCAAATGTCCAGGATTTTCTTACCAGCGAGGGGAGAAAGCAGGGCGACAGAGTCAGTCATCTGGAAAACCAGGCGTAACAGAGCCATGGGGAGTTTCTATCCTGTGGGTTTAAAACCCGAGTCACAGGTGTGCCCGGCCTCAGCTGGAGGGACTCTCACGTGGTGTCACGCATTAGTTCACCCGACACACAGCACAGCAGGTCATCAATGGGACACGGGCCGGGAGCACTGCCTGGGTTCAGACAATTCTGTTTGGGTGGCCCAGGGCTTTGAGTTGCTCAGCTATAAAATGGGTGGCAGAGTGACTTCACACGCCAGGCCCAGGTTAGTGACTCAGAGTGTCCAGTGCTCGGAGCACCACCCGGGCCCGGTAAGCTCTCCATCCCTGTGGGCCATGCTGGGCAGCCTCTGCTCCCTGCCCTGCTGGCTCCCGCTCTCCTGCTCCAAGCCTCAAGCCTGTTCAGTTCCTTCCTGCTGAACGGTGCTAATGAGAGCTCACAGCTGATGCACCCTGCTCACGGGGATCTGCATTTTGACTGGGCTGTGCCCTCCGCCCAGAGAGGCACCTGGGCCGCTGCTGGCAGAGGAAAAGGTGAAGCAAGGGATCTGCCGGCGTGGCCAGCCCATCGGGCCTTCTCCATCTGGTCACAGGAGCCCTCCCCAGCCCCCATCATGCCGGGCAGCCTTGTCCCCTAAGGTGGAAGAGTTCGGCCTGTGGCTTGGTGTTGCCACTCTAAGGCGAGCAGAGGTTTTTCCACGTGGCATGTGGGGCAAGTTAGGCAAGTTGCTATAGCAACACACTCCAGGATGCCAAACAGGATGACACAGGGAGGGGGTTCCTGCCTCTTCAGCTGACGGCTTTCTCCCCCTCTCCATGCCCCCGGCAGCGTCACTCAGCAAAGCCAGACCCCAGACCGTCAGAAATCCCAGCCCTGCGGATTTCCAGGGCTGGTTTCTCCTCTACAGATCAAAGCGCTGGGCATCTGGAAGGCATGGAAAAATCGTGAAATGGGCTAGCAGCAGTGTGCAGAGAACACTTCTATAGGTCCCTCCTGTCAGTCAGGAGAGGCCAGAGCAGGACTGCTGAGCCCATTAGATGGATGGAGAAACTGAGGCTCTTAAAGGTTTAGCGATTTCCTGTGCTTGTCCCCAAGAACTCATGGGTACATGGGGCTGGGTCTTCTGGTCAGGCGTGAGGTCTGGAACCTAATTTGTTGGGCCCATCAAGGGAGCTGAGGAAACAGGATGCTTCCGCCAAAGGAATGAACTTGGAGACACGGCTTTTCTCCGAGCCCACCCACGCCACTCGCGCTTACGCAGGACCCAGTGCACCTGGAGATGTGAGGCTCAGCGCTTAAAAGTCCTCGATGGTTTCTAGTTGGCCCCTGCAGAGCCGGAAACCAAACACGAGGCCCTTCCAGTCAAGGGTCCCTCGGCCCCTGCGTGGTGACGCGG